ACACACCATTATATGTGCAAGTAGAGACTATGTCTGTTTCTTCAAATAACTCAAATTGCATGACTGAATTCTGCTTCAGAATAGTTTCCAATAAGTAAGACTCAGAATTATGCCATTTAGTTGAGTAACAAAGTTATCTCAGTACGATACTTTAAAATGTAACAGATTAAAAGTATTAGGGGAGAGAAACAGAAAAAAATTATATTCGCCTTCAAAGATATTACTTTCAAAGTACCTTAACCTTTCCATTAAAAAGCACTCAAATCTTTGAGAAGAAAAATGCGAGATCACAGATCAGCACAAGGCTGATCCAAAGACATGAACTTGTACTTTTGCCAAAATGAAGGCTGTTCCCCGGTCCCAATGTTACTTGTTTGACAGGGCCCTTCGTGCCCACAAATGGGATTTATCCTCCTCACAAATTGTGTTCTAGAGTTCTTGCAAAGAACACAATTAAATGACCGATAACGTTTGGGGGGAAACACTTGAAAAGAAGGCATTTTAGGCATTGATATTTGGTGAAAACCACACAATTCCACAGCACCCACAATTATCTCTCTGAGTTCAATAAAGGATCTAGTCTAGGTTTCTGATTCTATTCAACTTTGAAACTCTAAAGCATGCCACATTTGCTTATATCATCTTTATTTCACTAAAAGCAGAGGGATATCTCTAGCATAGAGTCACTATGTCTCAGAATTTTTTAGACGGCACCTAACAACAATAACTTAAACAAATTCAAAATCCACAATGCTTATGGAGCAACAACCATTCAATAGGCAATCTTCAACTAAGAAATGTAACATGATGAATCAATACTACAGTTAACTTCTTAAAAATATCCTGCAACTGTTTTAAGATTTCCATACTTAAACTTAGAATCTGCAATTCACAATAATTCATCAGACGCATCTACTCTGTTAGTCACAAAGGCTATAGAACCACCCCCCAGAATACGCGGAGAATTGGTTACTGGACCCCCCCATAGATACCAAAATTCATGTGAAAGCTCAATTCCTTAATATAATTTTTTTCTTTAACATAAATGTTTTTGCATGCAACTTTCCCACAACAAATTCTTTGTAGATCACCTATCATCCTTCCAAAAGCTCCAGACTCCATGCCATCCAGTTGATTCTAACCCATAGTGATGCATAAGGCAGGGTAGAGCTGCCCCTATGGGTTTCTGAGACTGTAACTCTGTACAGGTGTACAAAGCCTCGTCTTTCTGGTGGTTTAGAACTGCTGACCTTGTGGCTGGCAGCCCAACACACAACCACTCCATTAACAGGGCTCCTCACCTGTAATACCTAAGGCAATGAATGTAAGTAATACTTTACATTCCCCCTCAGATTTAAGGGATTGCTATGACCAACTAATTACTTCTGCCCACCTCAATATTTTTGATTCAGTGTTGGTCAAATGCATGGCTGCAGGATCCCTTGATGCAGAGGGCTGGCATCATGTCATTTATGACCTATACAAGTGACTTCCCTCTTCTCTCTGCTCAGATCTGATTTCATATTTAATGATCTTATTTCCAGTTGCACGTTTGAAATTTTGATCCTTTATAGAAAAAAAGAGCTGGTTCTATATCTAAAAACCTTTGCTACACTAAACCTTTCAAATCTGTGTTAAGTATTATGCTATTAACAAAGTTATTTCTAGATAAGCCCCCACTCTTCAACACTGAAATTATGTAGTTTTGATGCTTACTATGATTTTTTTTTAACCAAAGAATACTCAAATGTGGGCTATCTACGAAAAAGTGCCTTACATAGGTAAGACTATGGCTCTACTCACTCCCTGAGTAGTAAATTACTTAAAAGATCATGGTGAAAATTCATTATTCACCCTCAATTTCTTCCATTATTGCTTTTACTGTTAGTGTGTTTTATATGTTTATAATTTTTATTGATAAAAATAAAGCTTAATATAACTAGAAAATTATAAAACTGATTGCTTTGTAGCTAATATTAAATGTCAATTTTTTAAGAAATCCCTTCAATTTGAATTGTTTTAGATTCAAAATTGATTATTTCACTCTGCTTTCATCTTCCCTAAGAAAATCACCCCCATTCTCTAGGTCCCCACCAATCCTATAAAGAGGTTTTTAGCTACTTTACTTTCAAATTAGCAGGCTATCATTTATTGTTTATACTCTGTGGCCACCTCCTCCTACCCACCTCATTTGGCCTACTACAGCCTCTGTGTGACTCAAAGGAGACTGCATGCCAGGTCAAAATGGAAGGAACTGGTCCACTCACCTTACCTCCACATCTTTTGGTCCCCTTTTCCTGTCTCACTATTTTTCTTTTCTACTATTAGACAGTGCCATTAAAAACAACAAATGGAATTCCATTTTTAGTCTCACCACATGTAATCAAATAAATCACTGTTTGACTAAATGAATACCATGTCTAGTATCTCCACAGAACCACTCTCCTTGCCTTTCAGAGCACAAGGGAAGAAGGCCATGCCTGGGTGCAAATGCTACAGAAGCAGGCATGCAAAGAACCCTACAAAGGCAAGGCAGTGGCTCATCCTAAAGGACAAGAGTAGCTCAATCCCCTATATGACCCCCGCCCAATAGAACCAAAGTAGAACAGAAGTCAGTGACCAGATTAAAAACGAGCCAGAGATATGCAAGTGGAGGAGAGCATTTGGTAGTGCTTCTGGAGTAGTGGAAAGAGTGGCCGTGAGTGAAAGATGGGCAGAAGAAAGGCTGCGTATCAAAGTAGCCCAGGTAATAATACAGTGATTAAAGCACTCAGCTCCCAACCAAAAGGTGGGTGGGTCGAACCCACCAGCCACTCACCACATAGGAAAACAACACAGTGGTGGTCTGTTTCTGTAAAAATTCACAGCCTAGGCAACCCTACAGAGCAACTCCACTCTGTCCTCGAGTTGCTGAGTTGCAATCAACTGGAAGGCAGAGTTTGGTTTTAGAAGGCTAACACACTACACATTTACTGGTTTTTATAATACAAACTTCTCAATGTTGTTAACCCTTATTTGATATTCTGGCAACTTCTGAGAAGCTCCAGTCTTCTTTGGTAAAGAAAAAAACTTCTCCAAGTAGCACTGGAATGAGCTACTCATAACAGATACAACTCTATCACACAGAATCCTTGATAAATTTAATTGTAGTAGCAGTAATCACAGTAATAATGACATCATCTATTCTTATCATTTATTGAACACTTGGTGGGTCTAGCACTTAAAACTAAACTATTTATTTACAAATCTTACGTGATATTTTCATTTAGAATTTATATATATAAAGAAGGCACCCTGGCAATGCCACAAATCAGCTCTGGGATGCTAACTAAAAGGTGGGGAGTTCCAATTCACCAGCTACACCATGGGAAAAGATGTGGCAGCCTCTGCCATAAAGACTTCAGTCTTGGAAATTTAATCAAACAGTTCTACCGTATCGTATGCGCTGGAATCAACTGGAGAGCAATGGGGTTTTAGTTCACGATACAAAGCATCCTAGTGATGCAGTGGGTTAGCTAAGAGGCTGCTCGTCAAGAGATCAGTGGTTGGAACCCACCAGCTGAAAAAGGAGAAAAATGAGGTTGTCACTTGCAAGGTTTACAGGTTTGGAAACCTGTGGAGCAGTTCGTTCTGTCTTATAGGATCACTGTGAATCAGAATCAACGTGATGACAGTAGGTGTGGGGTTTTTATTGGGTTTTTATTGGGGGGGAGGGGTGTTATATACAGAGTTCTTTATGTGTGAGGAGTCTTAAATACTACAATCAACTTATCCTCTCAACTAATCTGTGTGTGTAGGTACAACCAAAACTGACTTATTTAGCAGACTGATTTAATACCACTCCTCCTGGTAATAAGCACATTAGTCTACAAAGGAGCTGATTAAAACACTTCAAAGTCCCTAGTTAATGGGATAAAGGCAACATTAGCATAATGAAAAAACATGAAATATCATCTCCTTGAAGTGTCTGTAATTGAGAAGATGTGAAAATAAGGTGTCAACTATCCAGGGAGTCTCCACCTAGCTCCTCACCTTCCCTCTCAGCTCCAGTTCAACAGCTGCGCAGCCTTTCTCATGTTTACCTGCCTCCCTCCCTTTACAAACTCATCTTTAAGACATCTATGTCATGGAGCCTTTCTTTCCTTTCCTTTTGCTTTGAAAAGGCATTGCCAGAAACTTCTGTAAACAAAGCACCCTAGCCTTGTTATGATGAGGCAGGAGTTGAACTTCAAGTGCTAGCTGGCTGATAACATGGACAGGGTAAGGGCAAAGTTCAGTGACATATGTGCCTTCATTATTACCCCACATGCACTGCATCCTGACCCTTTGAGTCCTCCTTCCCCCGGTGAGTTCAGGCCTGAGGATCCCCAGTGACCTCAGCCTAGGAAGGAGCCTTGGGCAAGATGGGGCTGCAGCAGCCAACCTCCTTCCTGAAAACTAAAGTGTTCAAGAAAAAAGAGAAATTTCTTCTCAAGAGGAGAGGGACTTCATCTTTTAATCACTTGAAATCTAATCCCATATGCCCCACTTAATTATTTAAAGGTTAAACACCTCAGATATGCTGCTTGGAAAAGGTTTCCTCTCAGTAAACATGAAAGAATTTTGGGAAAAAATGATTAGGTTATCAAAAGCTTATTTAAACATTTTAATCACTGCTGCTTAAATTCTGAAACCTACAACATTACTAGGAGATTTAAACTTTATAGTTGATGAGTTGTAACCAAAAGAGTAAACTCCCCTGATCTGTTTCCCCACCCATTTCTAATGGTAAAAGAGTTTCAATTTTATTCTCTGAAGTAGCAAAAGCATATGAAACTAACTATGTCAGTTCACAAATATTCAACAGACAAGTCCATATGGTACATTATTAAAGTTATCATGAACGTCAAGGAGTCTTCCCCCAAAATGTTAGAACCCTGCACATTTTCAGGATTATATTTGGCAGATTTAAGCATGAAAACAAACAACTTTTTGATAGACTCAAATACATAACTACTTACATGACACCTTGTAGGACTTTCTGGGGATCAGGGTCAAATAGCCTGTCAACATAGTGGCGACTGCTAGCTGTAACTTCCTAGAAAGTAGGGGAGAAATTATGACATCTGAAGCCATGCAAGTCACAAATCCGTAGCATCACCCACACCACCAAGTTGCTATATATTCTCACTCAAGGCAGAGGCAGTAAATTTACTTTAGAACACTTATTCTTATATGCTTCCTAATGATATGTAATATTAAAGTGATTTCTCCCTCTCAGGTATTAACATAGTTGATAACAGCGATGTTCTTTTAGCTCAAGATGTCAAAGATCAATATTTTCCTAGGGACATACCATTTTAAAAATAAAGTTCTCAGAAAGGACTACAAGTTCTGCAGTGACCTGAAATGGGCAGAAAAGTTTAAGAAAACATAATTAAGACATATGGTTGTTTTATTCATTTAAAAATCAGAATCATAGGGGGAAAGATGAAGTACATTTTTAGAAGTACTTCTGAGAAAAGTTTGTGACAAGACAAACAATCTGGTAAGAAAGTTCAAAGTCACACAATTCTCACTAAAAATCTAATTGGAGGATGGGACCTGCGATGAGACCTGCTAGCTTTGGCAAGCGAAGAACTGCGCACACATGGTGAGCAGCGAACAAAGAACCCCAAGCTCACTGCTATGTGTCAATTCTGACCAGTGGCCACCTTATAGGACAGGGTACAATGGTCTCTGTGGGCTTCAGAGACTGCAACTCTTTATGGGAGTCGAAAGCCTCTTCTTTCTCCCAAAGAGTGGCTGGTGACGCTGAGGATCGCAGCTTAAAGTGTAATCATTATACCACTGTGCGCCTGCATATAAAAAAGAAAGTTGCATCTGTTTGGTGCCCATGAAAGGAGAGTACATCTGGCTCTCAAACAAGAAGGCCATGCGAGGCTTCATGAACCTAGTCCAGCTGCAAGAGGAAGACATGAAAATGTTGCCAGGGCCTAGTGGCTGTGGGAGGCACAAATTAAGAATAAAACCACAACTCTAGGATGAAGAAATACTAAGGCATGCTGCTTTACACAGATCAGCAGAGCTATTTAGTCTGAGGGAGACAAAGCAGGGAAGTGGAAAGCTAGGAGCTTAAGAACAAGGGAAGACACTTATTTCCTTTGTTTGTATTGTGGCATTTGCTCCATTTACCTGATTTATTTTATTTTTACTTTTTGAGGGAGGAAATACTTCATTTTTAATGTTTAACAACATTTAAAAATGAAAAAGTTTTAAAAAACAGCAAAAAAATAATTTTGTTCTTTCTTCCTGATGTTGCTAAAAACATTCTTAAATTATTACCCATTAGTAATAAATTACTACAGAGAGGAAGAAATAACTTTTCTGGTTTACCCAGAACCCCAAATCAGTAAAGGGGCCAGCTGCCTATAAAATTGCGGGTATAAAGTACCAGTCTAAAATTTTCAGTTATCAAAAATAACACTGAAGAAAAGTATAAACATTTTAGTTATACAACAATCTAGTTATCCAAAATTAAAGCATATTTTTACGCGTTTACTACAAAAGTATAGACAACTCAAAGACCCATTTTTAAAATACACCCCATTTATAAAGCACAAATAGTGGAAGTAACAAACAAAATGGATGGAAATCCTTGACCTAATTGGGTACCAGTAAGTTTTGGTTAACAAGGTCTTTTTTCCTTTGAGTGTGGGTTACATATTGGGCTGTGAACCACAGGTCAGAAGTTTGATCCCACCGCCCAGCTGCTTCAAAAGCTTGGCAAGCTCCAAACCCCACAGAGGCTGTTCTTCTTTGTCCCGGAGGGTGTCTATGAATCAGAATCTACTCCATGGCAGTTTAGTCATTTTGAGTCTTGAAAACCTACATTTATCCTCAAAATAACAGAATCACAGTTAGAAAGACTCTTAATGATGATTTATTCCCAACCCCTTGTTTTACAAATGAGGCTATCCAGGTTACTTAAGCAGATGCCAGAATGTCAAACAAAAGTCATGATACAAATACTTCAAGAAACAATATAATTCCTCAAAAAACGAAAAACAGAACTATCATGTGACCCACCAAAGTTCTAAGTTTATACTCAGAAACTTGAAAACAGACAGACCTATACACACCAATATTCATTATAGCACTATTCATAACAACATTTAGAAACGACCTAAATGTCCACCACAGATGGATAAACCAAATATAGTACATACATAAAATAGAATGCTATTCAGCCTGTAGGAAACATGAAGGTTTGATACATGTTACAGAGTGGATAAAGTAGGAAAACATGCTGAATGAAAGGTTAGTGTGATAGTTAAGATTTATTGTGCCAACCTGGCCGATAAACACACATGGGATTAATTGAAAGGGTGCAGAGATAAATGGCTTGGAGAGCCTCACCTTTCTCTTTCTTGTCTCTTGATCTCTGATGGTCGGACCAGTGTGCACTGCCTTAGCTAGTTCTCTGCCTCAGCTGGCAAAGCTCACTTCCTGCGAGACATCCCAGAGGAGAAGCCACGTGGACCTACCCTGATGCAGCCCTCAGTGCTGGGGAAGTCGCGTGGGGACCCCTGCCAGCCCTGAGATGCTTACAATGCCACTGGATCCAAAGACTTTCTACCCACTGGCCTGTGATCCTCCTGCATTCGGCGTCATTGTGTGTGTTTTCTGAGTTTGAGGAGGACTTTGTAGATCAGTGTCAGACATATGGGTTAAGTCGGGCTTATGGGTTTGGACTGAATGGGGTTGGGATGCTTTCTGAATATACTCTTACCCTTTATATAAAATTCTCTCTTATACATATGAGTTTCTGTGGATTTGTCTCCCTAGTTTACGCAAACTAACACAGTTAGTTACCAAAGGACAAACATCATATGACCTAATTTACTGACTCAATGGCAGTGGTATGATTTTTTTGATATATATAAAGACAAGGAAATTGTATAGAGAACATTTATTAATGGTTACTGAGATGAAAGGGACGAGAAAGGATGAGGTTAACAGTAATAGAAATATTGCATCGAAGGTAGGTTTGCACAGCTAATTATAACTGCTATCAGTAAATAGTCCATCTGTAAAAAGCTGAACTGGCAAAGATATATGATTGTGTGTGTGTGTGTGTGTGTGTGTGTGTGTGATGCTGAGTCCACTTGCTAGTTGTTTTTCGTTTGACTATATACAAGGGGTACCAAAATAACCCGGATTTTTTCCCCAAAGCTATGTATTTAAATTTATTTACAAAACAACCTTATTACCTTCAAAGTACTCTCCATTATACTTAATACATTTGTCAAATTGGTGATTCCATTCTTGGAAACATTTTTCAAACTCATCTGTTTGGATGATTGACAGCACTTCCCTCATTTTTTCTTCACCTCTTCTACATAGTCAAATCGCAGTCCTTCATATCATGCTTCATTAGCAGAAACAAAAAGAAGTCACACAGAGCAAGGTCAGGTGAGTAAAGTGCCTGGGGCAAGAGAGGCATGCTGTTTTTTGCTAAAAACTGGTGCACTGAGATGGCTGTATGAGCAGAGGGGCAAAACCAATCCCGTCTGCCACAAATCAAGCCTTTTTTGTCACACACTGTTATGCAATCTTTTCAGAAGTTCTAAATAGAAAGTTTGTTTAACAGTGTGACCTGGTGCAACAAATTCCAAATGCACTACAAGTTGATACTTTCATCCTTTCAGGAAGTTGATGGACGTCCAGAATGAATTTTGTCACCAATTGACATGTCACCTTTTTGGAAACCAGAAAACCACTTGAGTTTTTCCCATAGTGCTGTCCTTATAAACTGTGTTCAACATCACAATTTATGCATTTTTCCGGAGCAGGAAACAAATTTCACAGTTACACATTGTTCTCTTAAATTGGCCATCACAAAAAATGAGACTTAAGTGAACTGCTCTATGAAAAAAATTCAGTGTGACCCAAGAGAACCTTCCCAGGCGATGCCACTGGGTGCACTAACTCAGGGCGAGTTGTTGGATGCTCATCTAGTGGGAAAATTTTGTTCTACAATTGTTCTACAAAAGCTCTGCTCCATCCAGTGCAACTCTAGGGGTTTTGGGGGATACCCCCTCATATATACACAAATATGTTATTGATATATGCATTACTTATGTACAATCAAACACCTCATAGAGTCTGGTCTCTTGGTTTGAAGGAGATCTGGGTCTCATAGGACAGCCCAGTAATTGTTCTAATAACATGTTTAGTGCTTTTGTTTTACCTCCTAGTTTGATGCACAGTGCCTGCATCTTAAAAGCTAGCAAGCAGTCATACAAGGTACAATTAGTCTCTGTTCACTTGCAGGAACAACAGAGGAAGAAGTTGAATCAGTAATAAGGCTAGAATATGGGATGCATGACTAATTACTGCCATGAACAAATGCCTCCTTTGCCATGAGCTCTGAATTGGATGGTACCCAGCTACCATTACTGAACATTCTGAACAGAGCCTATAGAATTCTGATCAAAGGGGGGAAATGCAGAACAGCATTTCAAATTCTCAGGGACTTTAGACTTGCTGGAGCCATGAAGGCTGAATTATTGAAACTACTATCCTAAAATAATCTTTAAATATTAATTAAAACAAAACTATCCTCGAGTTTTATAAAAACCAAACTATAGTTTAGCTTAACTAGTAAAACATGCCCGCTTTAAACATTATGTTCTTTCAAAAATGAACTAAATAGGATAAAATTGACAACAGTAACTTGAACGATTAGATGGGAAGCATGGGGTGAGTGATGAATTCATGCTAATGGGGAGGAACAACTCCAAAAATGAGGGTGAGAATAGTTACATAACTTGAAGGTGTTATCTGTGCCCCTAAATAGTACATGTGTATGTTTTCTGTGCATATTCTCAATGAAACAAAATTCTATTTTTTAAAAGAAACAATGTCTCAAAAGCAAAAGCAGGGGGCCTGAAAGTGCGGGTGCAGCCACAGGGAGCACCGGGCAGGGAGGACCAGAGCTTCCTTATGGGTCTTCCTGGTGAACCTCAAGTGAGCAGCTCCAATGCCCAGATGAATGAGGTGAAATAGAGATCATGGCTCGTTGGCGTCTTTCT